GTGTGTGTGTGTATGTGTGTGTGTGTGTATAAATATTAGATAAATTTGCACAGAGCAATATCTAGATTGACAGATAGATATAGATTGATAGGTATGTGTAGATATTGCATATATGCAAATTCCGATTCATGTATTCACACTGCATATTTATGCGTATTTATATTTTGCGTCCGCTCCATTTCTGTGTCCATATTTTTTTGTGTGGATGTGTGTGTGTGTGTACACAAATTACATGCATACAGGAATATTGCTTACATCGACAAGAAACCTTAAGGCAGATGATAAAAAGGAAATGGCCAGTTGTCACAAGGATCGAGGCCCGTGCCAGAATGCTGTCCGCCTGCCATCCGCACGCGTTGCATTAATGAATTATAACTCGGTATGACCAAACCTGCGGGCGTGATGGCGAGCGGCTGAGGTCCTGCGCGACGTGGCACTGCCTGACAGTGAGGTTCGCGTGACTGACATGAGAACAGTGACAGCGGACGGCGTCAGCAAGCCACGTGGCCGCTGCATGGCGGGCGCCGGAGGGGTCGCTGCGCCGCGCTTTCTCCGCGTGTCCTGCAGGCGCCACTAATTACGTCACCATGACGGCCACATGAGGCGTCGGCGCGGAAGGCATGACACTCTCCTGCCCCGAAGTAACTGGAGAGTTAGGTTCACATGAAATTGGTGTTAAAGTATTTCGGCAAACTATTGTGATGATAATTAAGGATTATAATTTGTTGTGCTTAAGATTTTATGCACTGTACATGCACGTGGGATGTACCAGGGATGAGAAGTATGTATCATGTTCAGGCAAAGCTGGACGTATCTGGTAATGATGATGCAAGGGATGATAAAGGATGTAAAGGATTATGTGAAGGATACGTAGAGATGGAAAAGGAAGCTACGTCAATTGAAGACCAAAACATATTGATGAGGTAACGAGTCCGCTTAGCGTTCGCCTCCACAGGTAGGCGTGTATGTGTGTGTATGTATGTGACGCCGTAGCCGGGGTCAGAGGCACGTGCCGGGACAGGTGCGGGAGGGGAGGGGGGGCGAACCTGTTTCTCGAGGGTTGCCAGGAAATGCCGGGATGAGTATCTGTGGCTCAAGTGCAGCGGATTTCGAGAAGAGGCGAGCATTTCCTTCTCAGTTTCCGTCATGTGAATGGAAGCCATAAGAGAGGACTGCCCTCCGACCTCGCTTCCGTTTTATGTTTGGCTTTTTATACGAGGGATCTCTCGAAGGGCTTGGTCGGAGGTGCGAGGATGGAGCCGTAGGGTCTGGCGGAGCCTCATAAAAGTGGCTGGACTCGGGAGGACTCCGGCGGGGGGGGGGGGGGGGGTCGGAAAGTGATGCTGCTGACTCGCGTTGCTGATGCGAGTGACGCAATGGGGGAGGTTCGCGGGAGAGCGAGGACAGCAAGGAGTGTTTATGATAATGATTGTTATTATTATTATTATTATTGTTATTGTTATTATAATTATTGTCATTATTATTATCAGTATTGTTACCATCATTTCCAATCATCACTATTGGTTTTACTATTATGAGTATTATTATTTTTCATATTGTTCACATACCACGGCTGGTGCTAGATCTGTCAATGATTAAGGGCAAAAATTACCATGTTTCATGATTATGAACCAGGTCTTGCGGTATTTGAAATATTAGCCGAAGCAATAGTTTGCAATTTCTACAAAAAAATCCCAGTACGCACTTGCAAAGGTGTTTGCACGGAAATGCCACGTTAGACTTTCATTATACGTGTGACATACATAAATCTAGATTTGTGTGTGTGTTTGTGCGTGCGTGCATGCCTGTGTGCGTGTGTATGGGCATGCGGGTGTATGGCAGTTGCTGTGACCGTCTTTTCCGGGCACAGCCTGAAGAAGCACTACAGCGAAAGGCCATCGGCATGTTCGAGTCTCCCGCTCTTACTTCCCGTGTGGGTGCAAGGGCTTAGTGCATATATACATATGAATCCATGATCTAATGCAGTGCCTGTCCCGGATGGGCACATTGCTTCATGTAGCGCACAGTACTAGAAACAGCAGAAATACGACCACAGCGTACCGTTGCATCTGAAAGCACATTTCTCAGCATCTTTGCTTTCCTTTTCCTTCACGGCATCGTCGGAGAGGGGAGGGTCTATTTTTGCTTTTTATTTTCATTTTCTTTGTCGCCCATCTCATTTCATCATCAATAGATAGTCTAAACGCAAACACATAATCGCGGACTCATATTTGTTGAAAATCCAATTAGATAGATATAGACATGTAAATTTCTCTCCGTTTCCCTACATATCCAGCAGCATAATAACAGTTTTTCTTCGCTGTGATAAGGAATGTAAAGGTCATGGCGGGTGACTCCAGCGCGGACGTAGAGAGTGATCCTTGAAAATCCCACTCGGCCTCCAGGCCAATATTTTTGAGTACACCAAGAGTCGGGATTTGGCCATAAGCCCGGTTTTCCTCTTTTCTTTTTTCTTTCTTTATCTTTTTTCCTTCTCTTTGACTTTTGTCTTCACCCGGAATATGTGTGTCTGTGCGTGCGTGTATATGTGTAAATGGATTGATCGGTAGATAGATTTATTCGTTTGATATCGCTCGAATAACTAATACTTGAGAGAACATACTGTAGACGACAGGACGCCAAGGTTCACACACTCGCAAGATAGATAAACATACAGTAGATGGTAATATTCAGTGACGTCGCACAAGAACATAAAGAGGATAATAGACACAGTGATGTCGCGCAAGAATATAAAGAGGACAGTAGATTGAGAGTGACATCACACAAGGACACAAAGTTGCATAACGCAGCACAAGAGGCAGCGTTATCGGACTCGCGAGGGGCTGCACACAGCAACCAGGTCGCGCGGGCTGTGCTGGGCTTAGTAAACTGATTCCGTCTGAGGGACGGACGTTGGTCTGACTGAGGAATTTCAAGTTTCGGAGTAATGGCTGAATTCGCTCAATGAATTTCGCGTCAGTGCCAGTGCCTTCAGTCAGTCATGACAGCTAGATTGAATGACTAAAACCATCACGCAGATTATACACCACTCCATGCAAATATGTTGCGATTTTACAAGAGAAAAACGGCCTGTTTATTAAAATTGCGCGAGGCCCGACCCAATGAACATTCACAAATACGGACATAGATATAGACAGAAATAAATACATAGCTGTCTATCTGAAAGCTATACATTCATCTTTTGGGCTTTCGGGTTGATATTTTGCATTTTTCTATATATATGCATGTCCGTATTTATGAATATTAATTGGGTCGGGTCTCGCACAATTTGAACAAACTGGCCGAAAGTGTTGAACAGACTGATGTTCACATGGTCGGAAAAGCTAGATATACGGCTGGTTTGTTAAAGTCGTGCGAGGCCCGACCTAAGGAATATTCATTATACGGACATACATCTATACCGAAATAAATTATACGGACATACATATATACCGAAATGAATTATACGGACATACATATATACCGAAATAAATACATTATGAATCTAGACATGCATCTCTACCGGAAAGATAGATAGATAAAAGTATATATTTTATTTGGATAGACATATGTGCATTTATTTCTGTGAATTTACATGTCCGTAAATATTATTGCGTCGGGCTTCCCACAATTTTACGAAGCGGCCGATAAAGTCCGTGGCAGAAATTCAAGCAAGCAGGCAGAGCGCAGTCAGTCTTGGCTCTCGCTGGAGCTGAAGCAAACCCAGTGCTCGCCTTTCCAGTGGCCGCGCAGCCCGAGGGCGGCGGCGCGGGCGGCATCCCCGCCCAGGCCGTGCGAAGGCGCTCGCTGCACGCTGGTTGCGGAGGCGGGTCGCGAACCTGGATTTTCTTCGCATTCTTGCCGGGAACTTTCGGAATGCGGAGGATAAGGCCACGAGACCTTTGAGCTGTGCAGAGACGGGTGACTTCCTTTCTCTCTCTCTCTCTCTCTCTCTCTCTCTCTCTCTTCTCTCTCTCTCTCTCTCTCTCTCTCTCTCTCTCTCTCTCTCTCTCTCTCTCTATATATATATATATATAATATATAATATATATATATATATATATATATATATATATAATATATTATATGTATATATATACATGTATGTATGTATATATATGTATGTATGTATATATATGTATGTATTATATATGTATATATATATATATATATATATAAATATATATAAAATATATATATATATATAATATTTATATATATATTATATATACACTTATAAATATATGTATATATATTCATATATCCATAAATTTTTTATAAATGTGTATATATGCATATATACATATATCCATGCATACATACTTATATACATATATACATATACATATGGATATACGTATACATACGCGCCGCTCACACACACACACACACACACAGAGAGAGAGAGAGAGAAGGAAATAGAGAGAGAGAGAGAGAGTTACTGATATGCACACGCATCGAAGCAGGCCATCTTAATTTACGTCAAGCACGCGAGCGAGCTCCGCGGCGACCCACTGGCCTGTGCGGTTCCCACGCTCGACGTCGGGTTCGGCTGCGCAGGAATAGGCATGGAGGTGGCAGGAATCTGGGCGGCTGGCGCGTTCGTGCATGAGTAAAAGTGTGTGTGTGTTTGCGCCTACATGTGTGTGTGCGAGAGTGCGTGTGTGTGTGTATGTTTATTGGATTTGTGTTTGTGTGTATATGTACATGCATGGTCACATACGTACGTACGTATATATATATATATATATATATATATATATATATATATATATATATATATATATATATATATGGGGGTGCATATTATAATATATATAGTAAGATAAAGGCAGGTACAAATAGATAGATGTATGCTTGTTTGTGTGCCCGGTGTGTGTAGACAGGCAAGTAGACAGATCGATGGGATAGCAATGCGTTCGCCCACAATCCACTGCGTGGTTGGTTGACGCAAGAATGGCTTTGGCGGCGAAAGGGTCAGGCTCAGGCATCCCGCTTCCATGGCCGTCATTCCAGGGGACAAGAATTCTGTCGAGATAACAGGTCGTTGCCGCCAGAAGCAGCGCCTTGCATTGCCGCCTCTGCTCTTTTTGGCAGATGCTCGTGCCATTCAGCTTTCATTAGTCGTACCGCTCGTCGACACACCGTTTTCACAAAAAAAAACTCATTTTAAAGACTGATAATTAGCACGTACTATTATCAACTGACTGACTAAATCCATTTTTCAGATGACAATGAACGGCGAGGAAAACGAGCAGGAGTGGAAGCAGGAGGCTGCTGCAGCAGAAGCAGAACACAAGGAGGGTCACGAGGATCTGAAAGACGAGTCGACCGGGGATGAGCAGCTGTCCAACAGCAGAATGGCGCATCTGCTGGCTGTGTACCAGAACAAGGTGAGAGGCCATCCTTTGATCCACACACATGGACACACGCACGCGCACACGCACGCGCACACGCACACGCACACGCACACGCGCACACACACACACACACACACACACACACACACACACACACACACACACACACACACACACACACACACACACACACACACACACACACACACACACACACACAGAGTCGTAGACCATCTTGCAAAGAGACCATAATGCACAGCATAGTTTCGATTTGTTTCGCGTTTTAATCCCTTGCTAACCTCCGCCCGCCTTGCATCCCCAGGTGCAGGACAGTAAGAGGGTCATCGCGAGGCTGAAGAGGCAGAAGGATTCCCAGCTGCAGGCAGTGATCAGCCAACTGCTCCTGCTCGAAGCTCAGTTGAGGAAGGAGCAGAAAGGCATCGTCAGCGAACTGGCTCAGCGGGACCACGTCATCCTCGCTCAGCGTCAAGAGATCGACCGTCTGAGAAGAGACAACAGAAGGCTGACAAGCTGAAGAAAGAGCGAGATGCGCCAGAGGAGCGGACCAGGTGGAGCCCAGGCTGAAGATCAGCCGGGTCGAGTCCTGCGAGGAGAGCGCGCTGCCAGCGGCCGCCGTCCCGAGACAGAGTCAGTCCGCGGCCTCGGGGTCGCCTCCCAGCCGCAAGTCCTCCTCGGGCATGATCCGCGTGGCGACCAGTGTGTCACAGCTGATCAACTGCAGTAGTGAGTCCAGTTTTTTGAAACCTCAGCAAATGCTCAACGACATAAATGTCAGCAACCCCGTCAGCCATTCGACAGCAGAAACCGTGAACCCCAACGTGGCCTCCGTGCGGGCAACCACCGACCGGGTGTTTCACAAACCGCCCATCGCCGAGAAGCCCCGAGTCACCAGTCGGATCGCCAGGGGCCAGCACGGCAATCTCAAGGGCCAGCAGCACCTGGTGAGAAGTTACGGAGGAAAACAGTGCACCATTGTATCAACTATCAGTCGCCTGCTGGAGGAGGAGTCTGACGCAACGACCACAGGCAGCTCCGGCAGCAGCGAGCCCTCTTCCCCTGAGGCAACCCTGAAGCTGGTCACTCCAAGAGTCATACGTCTTGCAAAGCAGTACGAGGAAGGACTCAACACCAACTCGCAAAATATACATATTTATAACAACCAGGGCTCTGCGGAGTCCTCTCCAGAGTCGCTCAGACACGAAGACCGAAATTCCAAGTCGTACATCATGGATGAATATGAGGTTTGTAATTGAGAGGGCTTTGGGCAAAATGATGTGGCATTTTAGTATATAGTGAATAATAAGTAGATTAACAAGTGCCTAACAATTACATGTGTATATATAATATATATATATATATATATATATTATATATATATATATATATATATATATATACTATATATATATATATATATATATATATATATATATATATATATATATATATATATATATATATATATATATATATACATGTATGTATATATTAGCTTGAACTTACAAATGCAATATCCCACAGGTAACAAGTGGATACAACAGCGATGCCATCAGCGACCACGAATATGAGAATATTCGTGTGTTAACTCAGGGAAGTAGTGACGTTTCCAGTAAACATGGAAAGGACGAAAGTCAAGATGAGGAAGAAGATAATTATGTTGTCCTGAGAGCCGTCAAAGAAAACCAAGAGACAGGGAACTGGGTAAATATTAATGAAACAAATTTATAACATTATTCTGGAAAGAATATTCCCTCTACACGTTGAAATATACAGACATGTTTGATCCGCTGCTAATCCGTATTTGTTTCCAGGTGGACGTCCCTGAGGACCAGCATATATATTCTAATGTAGAATTTGCCTCTGGACTCATGGTTAAGGAAGTGGATGAAGACACGGAAAAGGAATCAGAAACTTCTACAGAGGAAAAGGATGAAAAGGAAACTTCAAGCACAGGATCTAAGAGCAGTCTGCATGGGGAAGGGAAGAACAAAGTTCTAGAGACAAACTTAGATGCTTTGGATTCATCTGCTTCTGAAAATCAAATGGTAAAGAAAAAAATATTTACTTTATTAAATTAAACAGTTAATCATTTAAATAGGGTTTGTACAATGTAGATCAT